AGCTGATGGTCCATGGGGGGGAATCAGGGGCTCTGGATATAAACCAGGAGGCCTGGAGAGACTCTAGAGGGACCACTCCTGCCTACACCCAGTGATGGGGCCCACAGGCTGGAATATCACTTTCTCAGACAGCACACAGACGTCCTGTTTCTGGGGCCTCCCAGAGCAGTTCCTATCGTTGCTGCTCGTGTCTAGGAACCTGTGTCATCTGATGAGGACAACAGCAAGCCACAAGACACACAGACTCCTGTTGGGAGCCTGGAAACACCCAGGGGAGGCACCTGTGTGGACATAGGATTGAAGCCTGTCTTCACCTCGGCCCCTGCCACAGTGTACCCACAGGTCTTAAGTTTCTAGTTCTTCTCCTGGTAGGTGCAGCATAACTGGCCTCTAACTGTGTAGGAAAGTCACGGGCTTTAAACAGTAATTCCTTTAACAATGCCTATGTTTATGAATTGTTTCAAAGCAACTGAGCCACCCCAGGCCACCAGGAGTCCCCAAGCAGGAGGGTGGTGAAGATGGGCCTAAGTCATAAAGGAGAAGGAGGGGGTATGGAAGAGGGACCCTCAGTTCTGTGAGCTCCCCCACTCCATCACCTCTCACCCCTGCCTCAGTTTCTCTGAATATAAGTAGCTGGAAGGGCTCTGCTGAGAATTAATTAACAAATGTCCATTAAATGTTCACAGGGCAAGAGCTCTGCAGCTGCTAAGTAGTATTAAATAATTACAACCTCAGATGACAAGCCCATCTTGCCGCTGATCTGATGCATGAAAATGTTGTTATATGTCTTTGCACAATGACTTTATTTAACAGAGCTGATCTTTGCAATTTGGTTTATTTTCTCTATCCCTTCTCATTTCAGACTCAGGGGTTATTAGCAGATAACTGCTCATTTCTGCCATAAATCAAGAAAATACTCATTAGAAGGCGGATGCTGTGATTGCTATGAGTTTGAGCTTGTAAAGGACTGGAAGATGACAAAATTTGGTGTTGAAGAAGTCTAACTTCAGAAATGTTTTTGTTTTGTTGTTTTTGTTTTTGTTTTGGTACCAGGGATCGAACTTGGGACCCTGCACTTGGGAGACAGGAGGTGAAACCACTGAGCTAAATCTCTGGCCCAGAAATGCTTTTTCGTTTTTGGGGAAAATGCATTGGCATTTTTCTGAGCAACCTCTTAAATGCATTAAAATCCAAATAGTTTTTAGCAAAGCAGCAGGATAAAGCTATGGAATTCCAAACTGGGTCCCCAAGACTGGGAAGAAGGGACATAGGGGGAGCCGTGATGGACTCCCGGGGAACATCTGGGTGCCAGGCCAGCCCAGGGTGTTAGCACTAACCCAGGGGGCTGAATCAAAGGGCAGCTGTGGTTGCTGCCATGCTGGGGAGCCATCCTGCCCACAGAGGCAGACACTGCCCATGGAAAGGGCCAGAGACGATCTTACAAGTGTATCTGTAAACTCTGGGAGGGAAATAAAAAAGTGCTGATGGTTAAAACATATGGCCAAAGCTGGGGACAAATGGACATGGGCTGTCCTCCTTGGCTCCTCCCTCCTCTGGCTCAGGGCGGCACCCTCCCTCTTGTTTTCCACCAGAAGCCTGTGGATCTGCAGGACAGAGCATTTCACCCTCACTCCCCAGGTTCTCATTTCTGTACTCCTTCCTGGACTGGTAGAATCTTTTTTTTGCAAAATTACCCTTACCTAATCCATGGAGACAGAAAGTAGATTAGTGTTTGCCAGGGGCTGGGGAGGGAGACAGTGACTACTCATAGGTACTGGGTATATTTTAGGGGTGAGAAACATTCTGGAATTGGATGGTGGTGTTGGTTGCACAACTCTCAGGATATGTTAATTTTAAAAATCACTGTATATTTCAAAATGATGAATTGGATGGTGTCAATGAATCTCAGTAAAGCTGCTATTTGAAAAGTCACCCTGGCCCCCGGTTGCTGGGCTCACTGTACCCAAGGCCAGGTTCTGGCCCACAGTGGAGGCTCACTGCCCTGCAGTGGCCAAGTCCTCTGACTGCCCTGGAAGTTCTGCTCCTCTCTCCCTTCTGTGTCAACACTGGTCCAAACTGCTGGTGCCCAGGCCAGGCATGGGGCAACATTCTGAGCAGTGTCTGAAGCTGACAAAGACATGGCCGGCCAGGAAGTTATAAAATTGCCTTATGAAAATCCCACCTGGGCTCTAGACAGAGGGATGGAAAGATGAAGAGGACCCCATTCTACCGGGACTCTTAGGAACTCATCAGCCCTCCCAAAGAAGAATGGGTCCCCTTTCTGACAGTCAGCAGCAGGAATGGGTGCAGCTCCCTAAATTAGACCTCCATCCACCAACACCAAGGTACAATGTGGAGAGGGAACTGCCCATACAGGTACTGAACTTCCTGCCTGGGAGAACCTAGGAGTCCCTGAGCAGAGCCCCCCCCCCATTGGGGATTGAACCCAGGACCTTAGCGCTGAGCTATTTCTCCAGACCTTACTATTTTTTTTTATTTTGAGACAGGGTCTCACTAAGTTGCCCCAGGCTGTGCTCAAACTTGTGATTGCTCCTGCCTCAGCCTCCCAGAATAGGAAAGATTAGCAATCTTAATATTTTTTCTTGTTCTTGTAGCTTAAAATGCTTGGTGACTTTTAACCAAAAGATAAGGCAGACATGGTGGTGCATGCCTGTAATACCAGCTACTGGGAGACTGAGACAGGAGAATGGCAAGTTAAGAGTCCAGCCTGGACAATTTAGCAAGATCTTGTCTCAAAATAGTGTTGTTGTTTTTTTAAGGGCTGGGGGTGTACATCAATAGAAGTGCACTTGCTTAACATTCCTGAGGCCGTGGGGATCTGGGTGTGGTGGCACACACAACCCTGAGTCCAATCCCAGTACTGCAAATAAATAGATAAGTAAAATAAAAACAAGCTGATTGGGCAAAATTGGCCTGGACTTGAGACACACCCTCCCCCCTCCAGGGGGCAGACTTGTGTTTTGCAGAATGTCAGAGAACAAGACCCACTTAAGACCTCTCTGGTTAGTAGCTGTGTGTGCTCAGCACTGCTGGACCAGTGCACTTGGACTCCAGCCCCACTTTAGAGAAAGAGCCTTCCAGTGGCATGTGGCCACCCTTCAGTCAACGTCCCCCTCCATCTGCCACACTGGTCAGAAGACCCCTGCACTGCCCCAGCAGAGGAAAGATAAAGACCCCACACTGGAGAAGCCAGCTTTGGGGGTGAGGGGGCTCTCTGATGCAGCCCTCTACAGTAGAGTTGCTGAGGAGTTGCACCTCCGGAGCGGCCAGGCTGCCCGGCTTCCTTACTTGGGGTGGGAGGGGAAGCGCGGGCAGCTGGGTCTCTGGACCAGGACCCTGCTTCCTTCTGGGCTGTTGGCCCAGGGCCACCTCCACCCACCCTAGCGAGGGAAGCGCTTCCCCCAAACCGGCCTGGCTGAATTTTATTCTCAAGGCGAAAAGCGGAATCCAGATGAGGAGAGGGAGAGGCAACCCGGCTAAGTCACAGGTTATTGGTCTTTGTTTACCGGCCCCAGGAAGGCTGCCTTTCTCCTCCCACAGCGCGCTCTCCGCGCGCCACGCGGGTGCCACGTCCAGGGAGGGACAAAGGGAGAGCGGGCAAGCGGATTAGCTTCTCGGCTGCGGCAGCTGCGCAGGCCCTG